CTCCATGAGGAGTATTTAATGAGACTTGGAAAACGTAATCAATATTTGAAAACCCTAAACAAAGATCCGCAGCACGAAAAACTTCAAGAAAAAGAGAAAAATTTCTCAGTTTATGTTAATGGTGCGAATGCCTCAAAAGTCAAACCAAAGCCACATTCGAAAAGTTATCACCAAACTGATTATGAGGATAAAAATTCAAGAGAAAGAAACACGTCTTCACTAGCATATCATTCTGGGATAAAAAATGCACAAATGAATGAAAATCGGACACAATCTGCACCCACTAGTGCGGGAAGAAGAAAATATTGGGGTCAGACTCCTTTAATGATTAAAACAAAATCAGGTGAAGATTTACGCCTCGGAGAACCCGATTTGTCACTCAGCTATTCAGACAACTTTACTTCAGATGAGGAAGATATTATTGAACAGTTGGCGGCATCGTTAAACGATTCTGATGACTATGTTAGTGATGACCCAGCTTTGGTTGAAGGAATTAATACAAGTTTGAATATTTCTTCCGAAAGCCATTATCAGGGTAAGGTTTCACCTGAGCCATATATTAAAAAGACACCACAGAGTAATATGGCGACTACCAAAATTCAAAAACACACTGTTTCTCAACAGAAGTGTACTATACAGATAAATATTTATTCAAACTGGCATTCCAGTGATGAAAAGGTTGGTCTGACATCTCTAGAAGTATTCGATAATGAAAATGCTATAGTCCCAATTTCAAGCGAAAATATTACCATATCACATGCAGATATTGTTCACGGTTCGATATCGAATTTACTAGATGGTGTTGACAAGACGGTGAAAGCGAAACATATGCTTTTGCTTTATCCGAAGTCACTTCCAGTGACGATAAATATCGAATCCCCAGTGAATGATGTAACAAAGCTAAGACTGTGCAATTACAATGAACAATCAGACAACTTGAACCTTGGGATAAAGTTTTGCAAAGTGTTTCAGAATGGAAAATGCTGTTTTGAAGGCAATATTGAAAAAGGTTGTGGCAATAAAATATTTGACTATGGTTTCACTATTGATTTGAAGAGACCATTAACTACAGCAAAAAGAGGTAAACAGGGAGTAAGCCCTCGTGGTAAGTTAGCATGTAAATTTGATGGCAAATCAAAGAATGCAGAGGAGTTTGATACGCAGAAATACCCAAAACTCAAATATCTGAAAGATGGAAATAATGGAGGCGGCAATGGTAACGAATCGGTGGATTTAAAAATTGATCCAAATACAGTAACAAACCGTCCAAAAAAGTCGAGATTTGACAAAAATTTAAAATCTCTTCTTCAGTTCAATAGTTCACACCTCGGTAGATTAGAAGCCAGTATCGATTTTGAAAACGAATTTTTCTCCAAAAATTTGAAAAATGCTGATGCCAATGAAAATATTGTTCCAAATAAAGTACCATCACTCATTTCTGAAGACTTTGAAATACCTACCTTACCGCAAGGTTCGAGACTAACATTTAATATTCGTTCGACTTGGGGTGACGTGCATTATACAGGTTTAAACGGGATTGAAATTTTCGACTCCGAAGGTAATCCAGTAGAAATCAGTAAAATTTCTGCAGACCCTTCGGATATAAATACTTTGGATGGTTACAATTCTGATCCGAGAGTCGTTGGAAATTTAATTGACGGACATTATTGCACAATGGATGATTTCCGGACTTGGTTAACACCGTTTACTGAAGGAAGTAATCATTATATTTATATGACTTTCAAAAAACGACTGCAAATTGCTATGATCAGGATATGGAATTACACTAAATCAAGAATTCATTCGTATAGAGGTGTAAAGGATGTGGACATTATGCTTGACGATAATTTAATTTTTCAGGGACAAATTGCTAAAGCGTCAGGCACTCCTTTAGATATGCAAAATTTTGGCGATACAATACTCTTCACCACAGATGAACAAATTTTAGAAAAAATCAGTGAAAATGACAAAACCTTTTTGCCTGATGAGGATGATGCAATGGAATGGTTAGTAATGACGGATCGCCCCAAAACTGGAAGACGTTTGAGTGATAGTATTCCAAATGAGAATGAAGAAATTGCATTTGATAATTCACTTCTGAATGATCTTCATATTGAAGATCGTAGTAGTCTTTGTGTAAAGTGTATTTCTCTAAAGCTTCTCGCAAATTGGGGACATGAATATGAAATTGGACTTACTGGCATAGAATTGCTGAGTGATGAAGATGAAAGTATTGAAGTTACTAGCGAAATGCTCGACATCAATACAGCTTCAAGTTATTTGAAAAATCTTGTCAATGGCGAAAACATAACTACAGATGATGAAAGCATGCTATTATTGCCATTTGGTGATTCAGATATTTGCTTGGAAATCAGTCTTCCACAAGCTAGGCAGCTCAAAGGAATCCGAGTATGGAATTATAACAGAAGCGTTGATGATACTTACAAAGGTGTTAAATTAATCGATATTTTGTTGGATGGACGTGCTATCTCATCCTCTCAGGGGATACTTTTAAGAAAAGCTCCCGGTCACACAGAATATGATTTTGCCCAAGATATTCTATTTATAACAAATGATCGTGGTACAGTTGTATCAAGTGCAAGCAGGTCTCCTATATCATATAATGAAGATGAAACTAGTTCAAGTTCATATTTACCAACTGGTTTTGTTTTTCAAATCCAAATTTTGAAATCTGTATCAGATCCATATTATGTTGGTTTGAACGGTATCGAATTGTTCGATAAATCTGGCGGAAGAATACGACTTGGTGAAAACAACATTGCTGCTTTTCCAGAAAGTATCAACATATTAAGTGGAATTAGTGATGATGCCAGAACACCAGATAAACTCATTGATGGGGTTAACGATACATATGACCCACAGCATATGTGGTTATCTCCAATCATTCCAAATGTTGTATGCAAGGTTTTCATGATATTTGACCAACCTGTGACAATTTCAATGATAAAAATATGGAATTACGCAAAGACGCCTACACGAGGAGTAAAAGATTTTGCGATTATTATTGATGATCTTCTTGTTTATAGTGGTGCTTTACATCCAGCTTCATCAGGTGTGTTTGGAAGTGTTAACCCCAATTTGGTTTCGTTTACAACGGATAAAAATATCATCCGACGAGCTGGTAATTGCAAACTTGTGAGTGATTTATCAGAATCCGATCATCAAGAAATACGAATGACAAACAATCATCAAGTAATGAACTCTGATATTCCAGAGGTTCCTAATCAAAATCTACGACCCATGACAACTGTGAGAAGAGAACAGAAAACGAAATTACGGTCTAGATTTTAAATATTAATAAATTATCAAGTCTATTGCATCCTGTCTGCAATTAATAACTCATCAATTATTTTCATACTCAGCATCTACTGATAACGTGGTGAGACGCTGTGTCTAGCCATGTGTTTGAGTTGTCTTATCTTTATTTGGACAAATTGCTTGAAATTTAAGCAGCACTATGGTCTTGTGTTAGATATCTACAGTGGAGTGTTTTTTCTCGGTTATTTTGGGAACAAGTCAAGTTACAATGTATGAAAATTGTTATTATTTGTATGTAAAAAACGACGCCAGTATAATTTGTGAAATGAATGTTAAAATATTTTAACTTGTGCTTCAAAATGCGCTTTGCAATTCATCAATCACACAAATTGTGCTGCACTAACATCTCTCATCTATTATGGTACTTTCATTTTATTCTCAGCAAAATAGTTATCTCATATTTCCTTTTGGAAGCTATTTGTTTAGTAATACAACCAAACACTTATCCCTGGTGCTTCAATTTTTAATTTCATATGCACTGAAAAATGAAACCATTGCACTGTGTCCACTTTTTAGATTTATATTTGAACATGCGCAACTTTTTGAAAACAGGTCAGTTGTTCGATAATCAGTCTCAGTATTTTTGTGAATTCCAAAACATATTGTTTTCTGCTAAATTAGACCATATGACCAAAACTTGTTCATGCTCGCCAATGAGGTGCTTATTCGTTCTTTTTAAATATTCTTTTCCAAAGATGAGCCACAGATGGCCGTGTATAAAAGCATGTTCTATCAATGATTAGTGTAAAACATATAATATGCTTTCTTTTGACTGGAGATGTGATCTATTTAAATCAAACTTGAAATTTGTTATTCTAATTAAGCTCACGTTTTACTCTTCGAATTAACAGAATTCTTAAATTTTACATTGTACAAAAAAGTGTTTACTACAATATGTTTATAAACGATATTATAAGTTTCAATTATAATAACAATTATTTTATATGAAACAAGTCTCATATTTTTCCTTGGGTAACTGGTTATATCTATCTCTAGCGAGAGAGACAAAAATTATAATTAGCTATTTTGTTGGATTGCATGTAGTGCACATTCTTTATGATTGCTGTCTTTGGTCAGGTGACAGTGTTGATGAAGCTGGAATTGTTATTTGACTTTTTGATGTCAACATTCTTCTGACTGAATCTCCAATGATCGATAAATAATAGTATTTCAATGTCATTAGCTAGCAGAACAAAATGGTAGGGCAGTTTTTCTTCCATCCTACGAATGCACTGCATGATCAAAGAGCTTTCCAGACAGTTTTTACTCGACCCTATATACCACTATTTTTCAACAGGAAAGATCAATTGCTTCCAATGTCACAAAACAAATTGATGGAAAAAAATCCCAACTGATTTCTTTACTGCATTCATGTCTCCCTTACATTCTTCTTTCGGTACTCCCGAAGTATGTGGACCAAAATTGCGAACACTGGAACGTAGTATGTGTTCCAGGTTAGGCCATAATCTCAGGTACAAACACTAGGGGAGTCACCGAACTCGTAATAGAACTAAAATAAGGTAAATTGGAGTAAATTTATGGCCTAACCTGGTACACATACTACGTTCTGGTGTCCGCCATCTTGGTTCACATACTTCGGCGGGAGTACCCTTCCTACTACTAAAAAACTATTCAACTGAATATCAAACGATAGACACTCCCTGAGTGAGATCACAGATCATTTATTAATGATTTCAAACTCAAAATCAAACCAGATTGATAGCAACTATTTACAAAAGTCGTCAATTATAGCCAAACATGTAGTTAAACAATGTCATTTCATTATTGAGCCAGTGCTGGCAAATTCATTGAGTATCTGAATACAATGCCAAAAGATTATAAAATAAAATTAACTTAATCATAGAAATTGGAAATCATCCGCTTAACTTAATGACCCGACATCATGTTAGCTAAGTGAACATGTTAACTGCAACTCCTGCTTCTGCGTGAATATTCTTCCCGGTCATCGTTTCTGCAATGTTCCATGCATTCTCATATGGATCTAGCACTTCGATGGTCTCATTGGATTGCTGCCTGGAATGGAACAGGGATGAGTTTTTTGTAAATGGTGGCAAGCTATAATCTTCATGCATATCGGTGGACCAATGGTTGTTGCCGTTGTCCAACCGAGACAAAATCTTTTGAATCTGACGGTTCAATACGAACTATTTGTAATGAATTTAGAATTTACTGGTAATTTAAATCCAGGGTTTTCAAACCTTATAGTATTACTATTACGACACTTCAATAATGTACAGATCTTGCAGTGGCATGCAAACTAATAGGTTGGCATTTGCCAAAAAAGTTGGTAGAAAAGTTGCTTCTGATGTCACAATGGCTGTTTTAGAATGTGGAGTTTTGTTGTAGGTACCGATATTAAGCGAGGATGAGGTAGAATAAATGGATAACTTGAATGGGATGTTCAAAATTGATGTTAAATCACAAAACTGTTGCGGTACACTGTGAATTGTAGGAATCCAGCATAGAATAATTTTTTCATCATAGTTTAAAATATTTTATAGTTTGTATTTCTGACCCTCCAACTACGAATATTTTTTCCCCGAGCACACATGCTGAAAAGAAATATCTTGGATGATTCATATTGCTAATTGTCGTCCATGATTGTCCTTCGATATCGAAGCATTCAACACTTCGCAGTCCATTGCCACCTGCCAGGTGAATGAAAAAGTAAGAAGATAAAACAATACAACAATCTTGTCTTGAGAAAGCACGAATAGCCAGGGACGAACAGAAGGTAATTATGAATTTGTGAAATAATATGATTAATAATTTTACACCACAGGTGAAGGATTCATGATGCCTTGGTACGCTAGCGCCAATGGCATTCTAAAAGTCAAAGATGAAGCAAAGCAAAATATGCACTTGTGTTTCAAATACTTTCATGGCAAGCACAATAAATCACCAGAAGTACAAGAATATTTTAATACTGAGTCGCAACTTGCAAATACTACAGATGTGCCAGAAGCTATGAAAACTAATCAAAGTGTCTATCAGGGTTGCAATCAAATATTAATGGTATATTTCAAATTGTATATTTGATGATACTTTACATAAAAATTGTTTTAATTATAAGAGGTCATACAACTTCATCAACTGTTACCCATGGCATAGATCCTGCCATTGATTTCTGCAGCCGCAGCACCTCTTCTTGCAGTTGGCATTGAAGTGAGAGTTGCCCAATTCGAGGATATTGGATCATAGCTAAAGAAATGTGACAGCACATTTCCATTGAAACCTCCGCCACAGTATATCAAACCTTGAAAATAATGTTACTTTAAAAACTCATACTGTAGATTAATGCGAACATTAGGCTGTACTTTGTACTGCAGAATATCCTATAGGCCTACCTTGGGCTGACACAACAAAAATTTCATGACAAGGTTGTTCCCTATCTGTAACATGGGTCCACGAACCATCCGAAAGATCTAATCTTTCAACAGCCTTACTGACATTTCCAGTGCTATCAAAAGCAAAAATCGATCCTGAAATAAAAAAACAAGGAGATAACTCGCTGAAATGTTAAAAATAGCATACCGGTGACATATTGTTTTTGTTCTTTCAGAAGTTGTGTAAGTGTAACCAATCTATTACCTTAGTTGTTACAAAAACAATTTGAGTTCAAAATACTATTTGCTTATTCGTTTTAGCTGCAGCTAATATTTTAATTGATACCGCATTTTACCATAAGACGCACTGTCATAAATTGCTTAGATTGGGATTTTGTCCATACATAAGGGGGGACTGGGCTATAAAATACAACGGCCTTTACCGGAGTACTGGATGTCTGGATCACCATACACAGCTCGTTAAACAAAAAAAAGGATTTTTTTTAATGATTATTTTATTCAAAGACAGCGTTAGACAGCGTTAAGCCACTGTTTGTTTATGAAACAATAGTACCGGTACTGATTTTGAGTGTAGACAATAAAGCACTACCTGATTCATACATTATCAATTTTTGAGAAAAAAAGAATTCAAAGTCCACCTTGTAGTTTGTAAAATACGGTAATTTTCAGATACATGTCATAAAAACTAATCCCGTTATGGGGAATACATGTTAAGAGTACTTCAATTACTGCAGTCTAACAACTAAACAATTTGGTAATTCATTCATTTGTCCACATTTAAATAAACCTGATCGACTCTTTCATTATATAATCACGACATCTTATCACCTTTCTGGTCTTCTAAGATATGTTTTATCTTGATACACTTACCATCTACAACAACGGCTTGCACCTTACTCGTATGCGTTCTGTCTGCTACGCGTGTCCAGGTTGCAGCACGATCAGAATAGTTCAATCGATGTCCAGTTTTATCGGTCATTAAAATATATATGTGACCACCAAGCTGGACTGCAGTAAATTGCTTGTTCACTATTTCATCAGGAATGTTCTTAACAAGAAGGTAAACATCATGAGGGTAGGAATAATACAAACAAATTATTACACCTGCTTATTAGATGTTCATTTTTCATATTTATAATACAGCGACATGCGATCATGAAAAATAAATATCTACATAACATTCAGAGTAAAAAGGCTTCGTTGGTATCTGTGTGAATAAAATCGGGTATATCTTGATAACATTGGGTGGATTTCGTTTGCCCTATGTGAAGAATTTATATCAAGGATAGGATTTACATATATTTTTATCCCGGGGGAGAGAAAAGCCGATAAGACGGCTTATCCATATGGCGAACCACGGCCTCTCGTCCGGTTACCGTTCCAAGTCGGGTATGGGATTAGTTTTACTGTATTGTTTGAACTTATATGTGTAACTCTATTATTACAATAAAGCATTCTCAGTAAAAATAGAACTTAGGAATTCTACCTGCATTCGAGTCCATCGTCTCTGTTCTGGTTCAAACACTTGTACTGCACTGGTAGCTCTATCAAAGACAGAAATTGCTGAAAAATTGAACCAATATGTCAAGTTCAATAATTGATTGTGGACTATGTCAAGAATGATCTGATGTTCAATCGTAATCATAACCAGAAGTTGAAGTATATTCATACAGAGTAATAGTTTTTTTCTCAATCAATGTTCGCATCTTGACATCAACTTCTACAATTTAACAGTAACATTTTATTAATAAAACTATGAGACGAGAGGCGTGTTCAGAAGTTGTGTTAGGATGGTAGATATTTTTAAGTGGAAATAGGTGTAGCACGAAAAAATTAAAGTTAATTTTACAAAAGTAATCGATTAACTTCTTGGGAACAATAATTTTATATGATCAAAGAAAATAGATAAATGTACAAGTTAGATAGTATAGAAATATAATAAATGGGTATAAACTTTTCACACTCCTGATTGGTTACCCACGAGACAATTCCACAACCACGCTTAGGATATTAGAAAAAATGAAATTCCACTGCACTGAATGGTAAATATAAATAATCAACACTCACCATTGCTAATTCCATCATCTGAAAATTGAAAACAAGAATGGATTGATTTCAAGACATTTTAGCAGGACTAAACTAACACTAGTCAATTTCGTAAAAGTGCTTATTTTCGTCATAAATTAAAATACAAAAAATACAATATGTTAGGAAATAATGTGAATGATACAAGGTATGACCTTATAAAAAAGGCTAAAAAGATGATTACCTTGTATAGTGAAATCCTTGGCAAAAACATTAGCCTTGTCCATGATGGATATCAAAAAAGCTTTCAGGCATGGATTGGATAGAAACACCAGAGGCTAAAAAATTAAATTGAGAAAAGAAATCTAAGTTAATATTGAATGAATTTAAATGTGGTAGCAAATTGAAATAATTACCAAGTCAAGTTTATTTTTTTCCAACCAGTAAAAAAAAATATCACGCAAGCACAAATTACGAGAAAACGATACCAACTTCTTTTTCCACCAAATACCGACGATATCCCAAAGGAATTTCAGAAGAATCCAGATGACCGAGAACATCTTCGAAGCACTTGCTACGTGATTCCAAATCAACACTAGCCCAAATAATTAATGCTTTTGCACTTTGCAGACTCAGATGCCTTAAAAATTAAATTTGGTAAATTATTCAAAAAATTTTCTTGCAATTGGATGGCAATGGATAAATAAATGAAATGGCGAAAAAAGGGTACTCCTTCCGATTGGCCTAACCCTAATCTGGTACACATACTACGTTCCGGTGTCCACAATCTTGGTTCACATACTTCGGGAGTACCGAAAAAAGTTTACACAAAACTGCCTAAAAAGTATGTCTTCAAGGATTACATGTTTCAGGCTGAAAGTTGAAATATTATTATATAACATAATATGTTATAGATCTCTGAATTCTCTGGCAGATGATCAGGTGTGAGAGTCTTAACAAGGTGTGTGATGGTTTAAGAAAACGTTAGCTTTCTTTATCAGTAATGCCATTCATCGGAAGGAACAAATTGAGTCTGATAATAGTTCAATACCTTACCCAACATGATATTAGAAACATGGGGCAAGGCTTGCTTCCATCAACCCATGTATAATAAACATTCCCTTTCTGTCTCATATAAAATTTGCTAATATACCTGGGTGGATTTTGATTTGATCAAGAATGAAACATAATCCTTTTCCAGCTTTTTAAAACCATCTTCCAGTGAAATCAATCGAAAGTTTTCTTGTGCATATCTCTCACATACTTCTTCTAAATGCTTGATAAAGAAAGTGTTTGCAATTTGCTTCGTGAGAAAAAAGGATTCAGCATTGAGCTCTTCCTCGAGAGAAAGAGTAACTCCATCACACAACCCTGTGAAACATAATTATTTACCAATTGAAATTTGAAACAAAAACAATTTCATGCAATTTAAAGTCTTGCATTCTGTATATTTCTAAATTTAAATAACTTCACAGATTTTTTAAAAATGAGAGTCCGCCATAAATGTCAATTGACCATATCCAGTATATTTGAATCAAACATAAGCTTATCTTCTAAAACAGAATCGTTAGCTCTAGTTACTGTATATATATTACAAAACATATTTTCAGAGTTTCATAATGTGGAAAATTGATCAACTTTTTGCAAAATACTTACTCACTGTGCTGTGGTACTCAAATAAAAAAAAATTGCTATAATGTTGTATGACTATGAAAATTAGTATTTACTTTGAAGTTGCATTAAATGAGCTACATGCATCAAGTCTGCATGTGCTACCCCTTCAACTGACGCTTCTCCGGTGTAGATGAAATTGATGCATCTCTTTACACATGTGGGGTCTGCTTTCTTAATTGTCACAACTCCAGACTCATTTTCTTTAGTCTATAATAAGAAAGTTTTGAATTAAAATTTTATTTAATACTTTTGCAGCAAAAATAAATCAAAAACAGATGGCAGAAAATGGAAACCAATCATAAAATGAATGGCTATAGCCTATATCCACCGTAGCCAACACTGCTCATTTTCATTTATTAGCAAATCAGAGTGACCGAACTTCAATATTTAATTTTTTGATAAGATTTAAAATAAAGCTCTTCTGGGGTAGTTTGCTTCCTTCTTTACTTAATTATATTTTTGTCTTATGTTTGTTCCAAACCATTATTATGACGCGCCTTTACCCTTCATTACAGGATATTGAATTACTTGATTCTGGTTTCACCTTGTGACTGAGACAGATTAACGTTACAATTTTTGCAAATGGAATTACTAATTTACCTCATGGGATAACATCCCCCTGAAATAGTCAGAGCATGCCGACAAAACATTCCTGTGAGCTGGAATTTCCTCGGACCCCGCTTTGATTAGAAAGTCACAATGTTTTTTCTCTTTTCTGTAGCTGTTGAATAAATAATGTTTGACTCCACAGTGAAAGGAATCACTATATATATACTTCCCTGAATGTTAGATGCAATCATTTTATTAATATAACGAGGTAGCGATCAGAGACCGCCGACTTATGGATCTGGCGGCGTGTATCCTTCGCTCTGACTCAATAGCGACACTGCGTGTCCTATCACTAATTAATCAATAACTCGCTAATTATACGACATAATTCAAAATCAATAAGCTTCTGGTCCGAGATATGATAATTCCACATGAAAAATTTGGAGCATATTCAACTTCGCTTTCGTGAGATATCGCGTAACATACGAAAGTGTCTAACAGACAGACAGACAAATACCTATCAACATACTTACCGATCAATATCGATAAATAACAAGATCGATAAGTGTTTGTGATCAAAATTAATTATTAACAAATGTGAAGGTTTCGTGGCAAGATACGGTTATTTAGTAAGCATGAATTGAAAGTGTACTCTGATTACCACACGCTTCAACCCTTCAGTGGTAATAGCGCGTGCAAGATACGCAGCACAAACCTCTTATAATTACCGGCCAGCGCCAACACGACAAAAGGGAAAAGTTGATCACGTGATTTCTATTTGTTGGATCATGGCCACCACGCCTCAAAATGATTGTCATTTGATGCTAGTCAATGTTTCGTACACGTGCGTTGATAGCAATGTTGTGATTTGTATTCTCATATATATCTAATCTTGGGCAATTCAATTCTGCAAATGTCATTTCAGAATGATATGTGTCAACTAGAGACAATCTTAAATGTACGTCAAGTAATGGAACCATACAATAACAAATACATATTCAGTACGTGACACAAACAGCATTATTTTAGCAAGACAGCATAGTTTTAGCTAGGGTTGTGCTAATAACGTCACAGTCATAATTTTCACCGTAATTCTCATTGGGCATCAACAACGGTTGCCAAGAATTGTCAACGGTTGGGACAGGAAGGTTCAAGGTTGTCGGTATCATAGGTGGAACACCCCGGATCAGGAATCAACAGCTGCAATTAATATGATAAAGCAATTTATTTACCTGTTTAAATTTTGAAGAACTTCGTAAGCATGATCCTTTTTGTCAATCTTGAGTAAATTTTCCATCGACGCCATCGCCGTCGACTCAGCACAGAGCTAACCTAGCTTTAGAATGCACTCGAAATGACGTATTCTCTCCAAAAATGATACGTTCACTGGAAAATGGCGCGTTTATCTATTCGTCTTGTAATGATTAACAAAATGAGTCAGAAAAAATATTAGGAGACATTGTCCACGGGCATTGACTTAGCAACGGCGATAACGTTCGGCAAATATCCTGGGACAAATATATTTAGAAATTCATAAAACAGTGATCTGTTAGGCAAAGCAGCCTCAATGTCAAACGACAATTGTTCACGCTAGCCTAATATCGCATTTTTTATGGTCTACTGATTTTGGCATACTGATTTTGATCTTGGAATTATGGTCCTACATCCGGGGCTTTGCTCAGCTGCTTTCTAGGATTTTCGATGTGAAGTGCGCTTTTCTCAGTTTAGGGTTAGTAATGCTAAATTTTGTGGGTTTCTGGCTTATATGGGTTTCATTAGACAAACTTTATAGTTGTATGATTTTATATTGTTGCAGATTTTGTTGTTCTATGTACGCTGAACGTTGTTAATCGTTTGCTATAATAACTGATATCTAACTTTTGCATTGCCGTTTGCCATCTTCAATCTTTACAAAGAAAATTACATTGCTGCATTGGTTTTCGTTTCTACAACTTGTGTTCTGTGAGTTTCACTGGATTGGGTCATCGCTGTCAGTTTTTCAGTTCAAGGTTAACGCATTTCAACCAGCAAACTGGCAAACCAGAGAATTAGGCAACATCAAATCTTAAATTATCAATAGAAAACGCTGGCATCTCAAGGGGTCTGGCGTGGGATAGTTCTAAATGATCACTGTCCTGAACAACAATAGTTGGCGCTTGTCGAGTGTAATTTTGGTATACACAAAATTCGCCAAAGCAATCTGTTTAAGCGCCCTGATGAAAATTGCATTTTTATTTAAGCCGTCTTAGCGACTTTCCTCTCCCCCCGGGTTTGTAAATCCTATCCTATTTAGGTGTTAAACACAAACCCATATTCTCAGGTGTGTGACGAACTGACATCCGACTCCGAGGTTACGTATTCAGCTATTTAAAATCACTTCCTCATTGAATATATTAAGCAAGATTATTTTTATAATGCAATCGCTGTTGGGAGCAAGTATTTATTTATATGGGACGTATTCCGTAATAAGGGATTATTGGCCCAATCTGCGCGTTTGCGCTCACGTGTTATTGGCTTCACAGACGTTTAATTGAGTATAACTCCAATCTGAGCTCCTCACAAGTCAATAAGGACGCAATGTATTATAATGCCAAATGTTTGTTTATATATATGCACAATCCAATTGAATCAAAATACAGATATATTGAAATATTCACTTAACCTTAAAGCAGTTATACGGTCGAATCCAAAAGCAGTAAGTATCATAGGAGAACGCTATATTTCAACTCCCGCACGATACAAAAGAAGGCTATACACACAAAGCTAATGTTTGAAGCTGTCGCGATCACTCATAATCAGGGAAATAGCAAATATGACCTATTTCATTGAATTCAACATACTATTAATATGAAGGGGTTAAATAACATTAAAATCCATAGTTACAATCCACATTCGCTACACCGTTTTAGCATGTGAAACCGAATTACTCAACTAATTGGAGGTAAATCGTCTGTAAGATTATATAATGGAATTTTAGCATTGGGAGGAAATTTTTTTCAATGTACAGTACATGCAAAAGTGTAATGGGTGGGGTCTGAATTCATATATTCCTGATATCGACTGTGATGATGTGGGGTGTGATATATAAAGGTATAAAAGACCACTGGCGCGAAAGCTGTAGATACAACGTCATATGGGGACATTTAATTGAAATAATATAGAATTTATTCATCAAAATTATATTTATTTTATAATGCATGCACGAAACACACAAAATCACATGAATTATTTCCACTTATGATTTCGACACTACACGCTGAAAAAAAACGTTTGTCGTCAATATTGTCCCCATTAAAATGAATTTTGCTCTTTTTTTTTCTAAGTATCGTCTTGAACCTCTACAAATGTTTGTAGACATGAAAACCATTTCTAAAAATATCATGCAAATTAATCATAATTTGGCCCTCAATAAGAAATGAATACCGAGACTGCATATTTAATTTCAGATAACATGGAACACTAGTTTCATTATTATACTGTATATTACTATTATCAGTACTTCTTATACATAGTGCAACAAAGTCCTAAGTACTTATGGCCTCTAAACCGGAAAAGGCATGATCCGGCCCTGGACAGGTTATACTGTCCCGGAATCGGTATTTAGCCATTAGGAATATTGAAGTAACGGTGCACTACTCCAGTTTTAAATACTGGTATGTCAAAAAAACAAATATCCGATTTAGTGAAAATTGACGTTTTTCGAACGAAGTATTAAACTTACATTGGAATGCCATTTAATCGTTAAACGACTGACCGTTTTTAACAGTATTGCTGTTAAAAAAGCCAGCCGTTCAACGTTTAAGTGGCATTTCACCGTTACTCTTTAAAGTTACGGTGAAAAATATGTAATGACTGACCGTTTTTAACAGTAATACTGTTAAAAAAAGCCAGTCGTTCAACGTTCAAATGGCATTTAACCGTTACTCTTTGAACTTACGGTGAAATGCTACTTAAAATATTCAATAACTGGCCTTTTTTTAACAGTAATACTGGCTAATGCTGTATTAACAGTAATACTGTTAAAAATCGCAAGTCCTAAAACGTTTAAATAGCATTTCACTTGGCCTTGAATGAGTAATTAATACTAAACTTTACTTTCAATTTCAGGCAACATGAAATACTTGTTACATTCCTGTTATTATATATTATATATAGGACACCAAAGTCCTTCCTGCCAATAGAGCCTCTAAATGTCTTTAGCAAGTTAATGCCAACAAGTTATTGGGTTTTGTTGCAAATAACCCAACGATGAACACGATATGTGAAAGATAAAAATCAGGTCATTGACTTGTGAAGTGATACATGGGCATTCCCTCGCATTCCCACTCGAACTCCCAAACTCCGTTAAAGTCATGTTCAGTAACATAGCAGGTTCGAGAAGCAGGTTTGAAATGTAAGTTACTTGGTTGTTTGAACGGGCATTTAATTCTGGTTTTCAAAACTCCGTTTGCTGAAAATACTTCCAGATGACCACCTCCGTGGTGTGCTACAAGTAAATTTCCATTGACATCAAAATCCATTCCATCTGGTCCCCCAACATTCATTGGATTGTCGTAATCAGCTAAAACAGCAATATTTGATAATTTTATTTGGATTCGTGAATTCTGTATTCCACCCTTGCTACATATTTATTATTAAAATCATTCTTAGGTGGATAGCGTTTTCAAATATATCAAATAAAACTTTTAAAATGGCCACTGTAGTCAGGGTTGATGTTCTATCAAATTTTACTACATCTGACATAATTCATTATTCACAAGAATAAATTTGTACTTAACATTTATAAGGGTGGAAATAGTCCGGGCTACACGAACCCTTGTTTCAGAGACTAGATAAGAAATTACACATACCTTTTGGTAACATTGCCCAAACCCTTCTGTTAGATAATTTACCCGACGAGACCACATCAAATGCAATAATGCTTCTGGTCATTGTCTCAGCAACAAGCAGCAAATTGTCGCGGATAGCAATACCATTACAAAACCTAAATGTTTCATCCATTGCAACTGGAATTGTGTTACCATTTTCAAGAAAGTATAAACGGCCGGAAGGTTTCTTGAATAAAATTCAATAAAATATAATTCTAAATATTCAAAATGTCACCAGTAACAGAAAAAATTAGTCACGATTCTGAATATATGATTTTTTGAAGCTCTGCCGTATTATTAAAATGTTATAATATGAGCACACGCCTGTACATTTCAATATAAATAGTATCCCAAAAAGTGTTATATATATACCTGAAATATTAATGTTCTGTCTTCGGCTGAAGGTGCAATTGGACTCCCGGGACCTGTTACCCAAAGGTTTCCATCTTTATCAAAAACGAGATCATTACAACCATTTAGGGCATTCCCCGAGCTGTCGACTTTGCTCAACTGCGGAAACATCAATGACAATATTACCTTGTATACGCTTACTGTTTTCAAAGTCAACGGACGACTTACTTGTTGGCATTTGCCGTCTTCGGGTGAATACTTTAGTATTCCGAGTCTCATATCAGCTATCCAAATATTCCCATTTTTGTCGGATTGGCACCCGGCGGGCCTTCCACCATATCCTTCAAATTGAGGAGTGCATACGACCTCATGTTCACCAGTATCTAAATTTACTTTATGTAAATTTCCGGCAATCTTGTCCAAAAACTGAGATGCTTCTTCGACCCTGGGGCAAAAATACAGAAGTAAGCTAGCTGCGCTTGAAACGTAGATACTCTACTTTCATGTTCAGGTATTTATGCGGGCAAGAATTCTATTTATATGACTAATTTTCACTAACAAATAATGCTTACCTTCCATCTTCCAAAGTTGGCATCGGTGCCACCGCGTAGAAGTCTCCCTTTGTATTGAAGACAGGCCCCTCAGATCCGTCGAGATCATCGCAGATTTTTTTAAATTTCAGTTCAATTGTGACGGCCATATTGCAATTTGTCACTGACGAATTACGATAAATTTAACGACTTGCTTGCCCTTGTACCTTTCCTCAACTAAAGTTATATGAACTGCATTCATACAAAGGAGTCCTAAAACGCAATTGGATTGCGCACGAAGCAAATATGCACAAATTAGGTTATGCATTCACATACTTTACTTGCAGCAAAGTAGAACAGAAAAGATTAAATATTTACCCGAGACAGTTGTTTGTCGTTCTTCTTGTCATGCCCGAAAGCCACATTGTAAATACATGCTTGATGTTTCCCTTTTCCTACGGCACCACAAAATGCCGAGTAATTTAGCACTTAACATGTGACGACTATATGATTCGATTGTTTGTCTGGCGTACTGCGAACGGCAATCGACAAGAAACATTTCGCTATGTCATCAAGGAAATAGCGGCCAACTTATGGCGGCATTTCAGATGATATGATCACCAGAGCGAAATTAAACTTTTCTTTTTACGCAAGTTCATGTGGTGGTATTTCGCATGCGATTCTTGATCCGTTTTGTTGCTATCCTACCCATTTCCAGGTTATATTATAATATTTTTATAAGCGACATAGTCCTTCTCTAGGATGAGGAGAGTGATATAAAGAGTTTCAACCTGAAAAGCTATAAAACCAAAAAACATAAATATATGCAAAACGTTCTTTGTACGAACGTCATAGAATTTTCTCTCTTAGGAGAGACGCAGTTCGTATAAGGGGGCGTTGCTCTTTACGATGAAGTCCACGCCACACCGATGCAGTTTATGTATCGCAAGTCAATGAAACAAACTCTTTCGGTCGGTAAATGGATAATAACTTGTCCTTTCAAATAAGCCATATATATATATATTGCGCTGTAGACTTTACCAGTGAAGAATTGTGGGCGCCCATGTTAAAACACGTGACAATTGCGTCACAATGCAAAGTTGTTGCTGTGCAAATGATACAAGATAGAATAAGTGGCTCGGGTAAGCTACATATGTATAACCAAAATATAGTTTATGTTCAAGGAACGAAGGGATCCATTTTACTGTGTCGTAATCTTATTCATAGCCCCAAGACCGACATAGTAAATCAATTCGCTGTTCTTGTTACTTCGATAATATCTATTTTACATATTTCGAAACTAAATTTCTAAGTAATGTCTTCATTTTTCCTTTGACAAACAACGCCATTCCACTTGTATCTTGGAGGACCATTCACCATTCCATCTTGGGCATAAGAAACGTTTCTAACCACAGTAAGATAAATGCTAGAGAAGGTAGAAACGTGGTCTCCCGTGCTTGGCGACGTTCCTTTCCATTCGACGAAAACATTTGTTTCTGGGAAAACGACATCACCAGTCTAAATGCGAACAAAATATATCGTTTTAAACAAAATAAAGTAAATTGCTTATTAGAGAAAGTATCATAGAAACTTCGCAGAGGTGAGTCACCTCAACTTCTGAGTGTGCGCGACATTGCTTTAAGAAAATTCTCATGATAATATTTTTGCTTGATGTAAAAGGTTTCCAGTTTTAGACCCGTATTCTGTAAATGCTGCTCGGTGATCTCTTGAGCGTCGATGCGGTATGCTATATTATGACTCTAAATTCCATCTGTTTATTGAAAGTTAAGAATGTATCATTTGTTTATACATGAAAAAAACATACTCTTGAATTAATTCTCATTCCAATCCATGCATATACCAAACTTTTCCCAGACGGAATTTTAGATCGCAGCATATTGATTACTCCAAAATATATCTTCTCGTTGAATATTATTCCAATTTTTGAGTCACGGACTTTGCATATTTCTTCTGCACTCGTGTAGTTTACATTCAAAGTGGGATGTATAACCACGGAGTAACATAACTTCCGATTAGATTTGTATTCGCAGAAATCATCTGTGAAATTTTATTCAAGATGAACTATTAATCCGTCAGCCTCATTTTTCAAACTTTATAGAATTTAAACAGAGCAACGGAATAAAATACACGTTGGGAATCACGAATATGACAACAAAGAAGGAAGGCGGTTTCGACAAACTTCCTAACATCGGATAAAAATCTTGTCTAAAATGTGACAAATTTATTTAAAAAAAAGGTAAGTACCAAATGATGTCTCAATGACGTTGCATGGGCCAGATAAATGTCTTACTGAACGCTTCTTCGTTACACGATATTACATACATCAAACAAGCAGTATAATATATTTTCTGTGAACGATCGAGTGTCTGAAAGAACGGCGTTGAAAATAGGGTGATTTCATCCTAAGTTAGTCTCTTTGGCGCACGGTACTTATTCGACTTCCGTGTCCATATTTTTGAGCAGAAATGAATCCAGAAATTAATGTAAATGTGGCACCGTTAACTTATCAATTTTGTGGCTTTAAGTACTAGATTAGTTGCCCGAAATTTCACTAACTGTTGCGAGTCATTTTGTTACCTTCGTATTATTAGCAAGTCGCAAAGGCTGAACGAATGTAAAAATCACCTCTGTCTTGAGTTTGTCTTGAAGTTTTCAAGTTATTCATGAAGACTATTGATGCTATGAGACCAGCAATAACAAGGGCTGACAATAAGACAAATCCGATCAGTACAGCCATTTTTGATCCTGCCGAAAGCTCCGATTTTAAACCTTGAGTAACAAAATAAAATACAATGATCAATATGGAAGTTACTTTCGGGTTGTTTGTCCGAAATACCCGCTAGTTGAGGTACAAAATACCGTATTAGAGCACGGGAGACTGCTAAATTACAACATCTGCATTCAAATTCTGTGACACAAAAACGATATAGGTTCGGCTACATGAGGTCGATTAGGCGACCAAATGCGATTGACGATTATTTGAGCTTTATATTGGTAACTGGCCTCCACTTTTTCACGAAAAAAAAAAATGAACAAATAAGCGGTACGTCCATTTAGATCTCACGAAGTATTATTCTGATCTTCCGACGTAAAACTGTTCTCGCGAATTGTCCCTCCCGATATTTTATACATGATTATCAGGAATATTTTGTGGCAATCAAACCAATCCTTTCCTGTAACATTTAGTTGTGCCGAAATTCGTATTTAGGTGTATATAGGCCTATAAGTACAGTGTAATCACTGTTGTCAAATATAAATGATACATGCTCGATTTGAGGGAATGTGCAACCACGTTAATTCAGGCGTTATCCTCCCAAACAACATCTCTCGAACCAATTAGATATTCAGTTAAATCTTACTTTCTGAACTTCCATCAGTTTCGCTTTGATTTATATTTGCAACTTTGGTAGCGCTACAATTCTTCGATGAATTTGACAAATTTTCTGGGTCATGTCTTATTTCTTCAGAATCTGTGCAAGCCACTCCCGATATTTTGATAATAATATCGCCATTATTCACGTCGTCTTCATTCCTATATGCCCTCTGTTTAGTGTATATTAACTTAATATCTTTCACTCTCTCTTCAGAATTGAAACGCTCTTCAGGCGTAGTCGACATTTTATGTATTAACTAAAATTTGTTTGTTTGTCAAAACTGATGAAATAGTACATTTGTTTGACATTTGATAAATACGGCTGGCAGCTTTATTCACAGCTCTTTTTACATCTTTTCTGTTTTGTAAATATTTTGTTTTTGTTGGAGTGGTAATATGGCAGCAATCAAGTATAAACTTATTTCAATTTCACATACTCAGTAGTATTTTTCTTTGTTTTAAAGTAAGGCAAAGTTTATCAAATCAACATGAATGTTGTAATATTGTAAGCCAATTCAAAATGAGAATTCCTACATCCACAAAAAACTCAAACTATACCCATGGCCATAACCACAAATCTTTGTAGGTACCGGAGTGTCATGCTGGCTCCTATCGCTGCTCGAAGCTACGATAATACCTGAGTTTAAAATGTGTACCCAAATAACACAGACCACTTGCACATTAATTTGAACTTTTTCCCACAGAAACTGTGCTAATATTGTACTTTTACATTGTCATCACAGCCAAACAATGAATCTTGTCTGACGGAAAATTGTCGTAGGCCTATTTGATCTATTTCCGAAATAATCTGAAACAAATGATTTTGACGCACCATTGCCTAAGAAAATTGTTGTGTTTTTGTTATTATTCCTTCATAAAGTGAGGATGTGGTACACTAATACGACAAAATGATGTAAAATGTGGGTAGAACAATGATTAGTTGGAAATTAGTAGAAGGTGATACTAATACATGTTGAAATTTTATAGAACTGAGTAATCTTGTGGGAAGACGAGGATACGATAGGATATGCTTCTAATTTAGAATCAAAAATTTCTTCGTGTATTGCCAAACTCGTTTATCAAAGTGAGCAAGATAAAAATTTCCATATCTCGTTAACTAGCCTCAAATTAAATTTCAAAATTGAAAAAAAAAAAGATAAAAAATGCATTTACAGCCAAATAATTATGAACTAATTCTCAATTCGATAGACATCGGTATATAAAGTACACATTTCACGTCACTTGATGCTGAACTTGGCTGAACGCGAAATGGACCATGTAATTTCTACCATGTGCTACTAATCCCCAGCACGTCATCAAAGGCGGCTTCCGATTTTCGCTGAAGGCAGTTTTTGAAAATTCATAAGTAGAAAACCAGGACGACTTGATGTATATACTAAAACATTTTGAAAAAATATATAAAATCAAATTTATCAAAAATATTTTCCGTCATAAGTAACCCACCTTTAAATGTTTTTTGTACAGTCCGGGAAATGGCAGACGAATAAGACAAATCAGACGCAGTATTATTTCTCAATCACAATGCTGTCTCCCGAGTATCGATTAACTCGGGAATAGGTAGAGACGCCATATTTGGGTCATACAAGTAACTGAGGTCTAGTTTGTGTCAAAAAAAAAAAATTCGTCACGGTTGAGTGAACTTAGTTCTTAAAATTAATAAAACTTGACTCCCATTAGGGGTGATCAGTTTATAACCTGGTATTTAAACTATTTAATGGACTGAAGAGGTCGGGGGCACTGCGCCGGACGAATGCCGCCATTCGTCCGGCGCAACGACCAGGGTCTTTCGACGAACTCAGAACAAACACCTATTTTTAACCTCACTAAACACATTTCTTTAAATTTTCCCTCGCGGGTAGCGTAGCGACCTACCCCTGGATTGGAAAACCTAGGTAAAGCTAGCGGACAGTTACTTATTTTTCCAAATTTGAACCCGCCATGTTCCACGAATTGATCGCAAATAAAGTGGACAGTTGTCGCGAATTCACTTAATTGCGGCTACATGGATGCAAAAAATGAGGCGATTCGCCCTTTTAGAAACTAACGACAGACCTGAAGCATTTTTTCTCGGTAAAATGAATTATTGCTCAGAAGCTCATTTATCGACAAAATCTAAAATTTAACTGAGTTGAAGCGTAATTTATGCAAGAAATAATTTTTTCTCATCCAATTCATTAATACAGTGTATTTGATGGAAATATGTAAAACACATATTAAGTTTTAAAAAAATTACGCCATGCGGAAAGTTGGGAAATACCCCCCAATTTAAGGAAAATTTTCAAGAAATCGTCCATTTAACTCAGTTAAAGCGTAATTTATGCAAGAAAAAATATTTTCTCATCCAATTCATTAATACAGTGTATGTAGTGGACAAATATAATATACATATTGAAATTTTAAAAAAATCCACCCTGGGGAAAGTGAGGAATTTCCCCCCAATTAAAAAAAAATATATAAGAAATCGTCAATTTAACTCAGTTAAAGCGTAATTTAGGTAAGAAGGAATTTTTTCTCATCCAATTCATTAATGCAGTGTGTTTGGTGGACAAATATAAAATACATATTGAAATTTAAAAAAAATCCACCATGCGGAAAGTAGGGAAATTCCGCCCAATTAGGGGAAAAAATAGAAGAATTCGTCAATTTAACTCAGTCAAAGCGTAATTTACGCAAGAAAGAATATTTTCTCATCCAATTCATTAATACAGTATATTTGGTGAAAATATTTAAATCACATAGTAAATTTAAAAAAAATTTCATTATGTGGAAAGTAGGGAAATTCGGTACTCCCGAAATATGAGCACAAAGATGACGCACAACCTGAAATAGTAGGATAGGTTTAGCTTTAGAATCTAGATTGTACGCTTTCGGGAGCGCAGGAAATAACCCATTTATGCAAAAAATAATTTTTTCTCATCCAATTCATAAATACAGTGTATTTAATGGAGATATATGAAACACATATTAAATTTAAAAAAAATTCCACCGTGCGGAAAGTTGGGAAATACCCCCCCCCATTTAGGGAAAAATTTTAAGAAATCGTCAATTTAACTCAGTTAAAGCGCAATTTATGAAGGAAAGAATATTTTCTCATCCAATTCATTAATACAGTGTATTTGTTGGACAAATATAAATTACATATTGATTTTTAAAAAAAATCCACCGTGCGGAAAGTAGGGAAATTCCCCCCAATTTAAGAAAAAAATATAGGAATTCGTCAGTTTAACTCAGTTAAAGCGTAATTTATGCGGGAAAGAATATTTTCTCATCCAATTCATTAATACAGTATATTTGGTGGAAAAATAGAAAATACATATCAAAATTTAAAAAAAATCCACCGTGCGGAAAGAAGGGAAATTCCCCCCAATTTGAAAAAACATATAAAAAATCGTCAATTTAACCCAGTTAAAGCGTAATTTATACAAGAAAGAATTTTTTCTCATCCAATTCATTATTACAGTGTATTTGTTGGACCATCATAAAACATTTATTAGATTTAAAAAAACATTCCAATGTGCGGAAAGTAGGGAAATTCCCCTCAAGTTAGAGAAACAATTTACGAAATCGTCAACTTAACCCAGTTAAAGCGTAATTTAGGTAAGAAAGAATACTTTCTCATCCAATTTATCAGTACAGTGTATTTGGCGGACATATATAAATCACATATTAAAAATTTTGTAAAATTCCACCGTGCGGAAAGTAGGGAATTTTCCCCCAATTTAGGAAAAAAAATATACCAAATTGCCAATTTAACTCAGTTAGCGTAATTACAGTATATTTGATGGACATATATAAAACACATATCGAAATTTAAAAGATATTACTTAGATGTCATATTTAGATATATTACTAGTTATATTTTAGTATACAATTCGATCACACATCTCTTCCACCATACTTTTCTTTGTGACTAATGTCATGGCAGCATCGTCTTGTTGTTGGGATACGGTGATCTTAGTCTTATCTCGTGTTGAGCTGCCTATAATGATATCCCAGAAATATTAAAGGATTCTTATATAAGTCAAATATCTTATAATTAGTCACCAAGTATTTGTTTATTAGACCAGGTGTTCTCAAACTTTTGGTTTGGTTTTAGTGTTTAAAATTTTAATATGTATTTTATATTTGTCCACAAAATACACTGTATTAATGAAGTGGATGAGAAAAAATTCCTTCTTACCTAAATTACGCTTTAACTGAGTTAAATGGACGATTACTTGAAAATTTTCATCAAATTGGGGGGAGTTTCCCTACTTTCCGCACGGTGGAATCTTTTTTAAATTTACTATGTGTTTCATATATTTTCACCAAATATACTGTATCAATGAATTGGATGAGAAAATATTCTTTCTTGCCTAAATTACGCTTTAACTCGGTTAAATTTTAGATTTTGTCGATAAATGAGATTCTGAGCAATAATTCATTTTACCGAGAAAAAATGTGTTGTTTCAATCATTTTCATTTTATTATGTTTCAGGTCTGTAGTTAGTTTCTAAAAGGGCGAATCGCCTCCTTTTTTGCATCCATGTAGCCGCAATTAAGTGATTTCGCGACAACTGTCCACACTTTTCTTGCGATCAACTCGTGGAACATGGCGGGTTCAAATCTGGAAAAATGGGTAACTGTCCGCTGGAAGTGTCCGCTAGCTTTACCAAGGTGATTGGGAACACGTGCGCAGTAAGGTTGTTTTTGTCTGGCTCATCGTCAGAGCTTGTTTTTGTGTTTCCATGCTTTGTATCCGTAAGTTCTCGGTTAGAATTAACGATAATGATATTCAAATTATCAATTGAACTTTTAATATGATTTTTGAGGCTGTACTATAGTGACATCGTGGTAGTAACAGTTGCTTTTTATTTATATTTTAGGTTATTTACAGGTTAGGTTAGGTATAGGTTAAATATAGTTTGAAATAGACTTTGTTGCTCTGTATTACACGTGGACTCAAAACAATTAGCACGTAATTACTGCCATATCTTGTATAAGGTATAATTAATTATATTTTATCGCATACGCCATACAGTATTGTTAATTGTAGTAGTAATATTATAATACTGTAAGGCTTTGTTAGTCCTAAATATAAAGAGTTTAGTTTATTATCTTTGGTGGACCGTGGCTGATTTGAATGTTTCTCGTTTCATTTCAAGTTTCCTTGTATTGATTACTATAAAATGAATTGCTTCCATTTCATGTTGAATTCCATTGTTAAACATTGAGCACATGCAAGAAGCCTAC